AAATATTGCATATTTTAAAAGTGAACCTTAGGCTTATCAACCGTGCCAAACTGTGACTACTTACACTTCAGGTCCTTGTTTGTTTGCAGGACAGCTGCTGTGCAGACAAAGCATGAATGACTCTGCTCCCCTCCATTACTTTGGGATCAGTCTTTTCAAGAACAAATAATTCACTTTTCTCCTTATTCAGAACATGATCAAACCACAGGAGTCATTGTCACATTCACAGAGACTCCAGTAAGCTCTGGACCTGGGATTTTATGTTTGAAAACAATTGTGAACATATTATTATGAAAATATGAAATTATGAAAATAACCCCCAAAATACCAAATACTCCAAATACTGTGGTATGGCAGTGCACATGATCTCATGTTCTGGACTGAGGAAACCTACTTATTTTGTATTGGCCATGATATCTGATCTTGCTTAGCAGAAAACATTTCAATACTTGTTTGGCTTTTTTTTAAGCAAAAATAAGCAAAAATGCTTCCTTAGAGTTGATGAAAGTATTTTTAAAAGGATACACATTTAACTCACAGTGAAAGCTCGTGATTACACCTGTAGTGATTTTAATGCCAGTTTTAAAAACAGATGAATATGTAAAAGCATAAGCCAAGCTAAATTTAGGGATATGAGATCTATCACAAGTGTGCAACTACATCATCAATTTACTTAATCACCTTTCACCTCCTTTGTAAAGGCTGAAATGCCAACATATTCATAGAGTTATAGAATTTGTGCAGAATTTGGCACTTGCTCTTGTACAATTTCATGCACTTGGTGGCTGCCCAGCCCTCACATCTGTCAAGATCTCTCTGCAAGGCCCCTCTGCCCTGGAGGGAGAGAACAGCTCCTCCAGCTTAGTGTTGTCCTCAAACATTTGCATCCTGCATCCAGACACCATCTCCAGACCAAGCCTTACCTTGACAGATTAAGCACTTGATCCTGCAGAGAGGAGTGTGATTTAAAAGGCTTAAAGAACATCACTGATTTTGTTAGCTTGCTTTCTAAATCTCTAAAATATGAAATAAAATTGTAGGAACCAAATAGGAATTAGGCATCTCCTGTTTATGCCATCGGCAAAATACACTTTGTGCCTTTTTCTAGTTGGACCTACAGAGCAGCTTCTGGGAGACTGCTGATGTTGCAGAGCATCACCTGGATACACAGCTACTGCCTTGCAGAAGCCTTGCTATTGAAATCTGAATGCAATGGAGAGAAACTGGGAGGAAATTGCTATTTTCTTTTGTTAACACTGCTTGGGAAACCAGAAGGGCCAGAAGGGGACCACGCAGGGAAGGGAGAGCAACCCCTAGGTGGGGACTGATCCCCTTTAAATAAAATGCACTTCCTTACTAAAGTTCAAACACTCATGGCTCTGTGCAGGACCAGCAACAAGTGCTGGTCAGTGACATCTGCTCTGGTTGCTGCAGGCAGCCAGGCCTTGGGAGCCACACAGAGATGTCACTGTGATGACATGTGGGTCTCGTGGTGACATTTGAGCATCTCTCAGTGGAACGCCCAGACAGCTCTTGGATTTCACCTGCCGATTGGCAGGGCAAAAATTGGCTCATGACAGAAATACCTGCACCTGAAAACTAAAGTGAAACTGAGACAAGAATAATTAAAATTGAGCCATCTGAACCAGAAACATTTTCTGTTTCTGATCCAGAGGAGCCGGTTGAGTTCTCAGGCTCTCCTCCTGATCTTCCAGTACAGGATTAAGGAACAGCCTGGGATGCTTCTGCAGCATGGATACTGAAAGAAAAGGACTCACTAACTTTTTCTGATGAAGAGGAAACCAAAAGTTTACCTCACATTTCTTCTGAGGAGAGCAAAGTCAGTACTGTGGTGTAACCTGGCAGGTGTATCAGCACCATACAGTTGTTTGTTCACTCCCCTCTTTCCAGCTGGGGGGAGAGAATTGAAAAAAAAACCAACCGAGTAGAATACATGGGTTGAGAGAAAACTGTTTACTGAGATACAGGAAAGGAAAAGGGTAAGAGTTATGACTATACATATATACACGTATATAACACGCGATGCACAAGCACCTCCAAACCAATGCTCAGCTAGCCCCCCCGAGCAATGGAAGAGCCAGGGAGCTCCTTCCTCCTTCAAAATTCCTTTCATGTGATGGCATATGGTATGGAATATCCTTTTGGCCAGTTTAAGTCAGCTGTCCTAATCTGTTCCCTCACGGTTCCTTGGGCCCTTTGCTGAGAATGGCCTTGGCTCTGTACAGAACTGCTTAGCAGCAACTATAAACATCGGTGTGTTACCAACATTGTTTTTCTCCTAGAACCAGAAACACAGCATCATACCACACACTCTGAAGGAAAATCCATCCCAGCTGAAACTAAGATAGCCGTATCTCCCCAGTCCTCAGCTTTCCACAGAAATTCTGTGGCTGGTTGAAAGTGACGAATTTAATATCATTTGGTGGGGTCACAATGGAAACTATTTTGTCATCGATGAATAAATTTTTAAGCTTGAAATACTGGGAAGGAATGGATATTTGAGAGTTTTTCAATCTGAAAACATGTCTCCTACAGTATTCTCCTAGAGGAGCTGGCAGCCCGTGGCTTAGACAGGTACTTTGCTGGATAAAGAATTGGCTGGAAGGCTGGGCCCAGAGAAAAGTGGTGAATGGACTTATATCCAACTGGTAACCAGTCACAGGTGGTGTTCCCCAGGGGTCGATACTGGGGCCTGACCTTACTGCTCTCTACAACTACCTGAGAAGAGGTTGTGGTGAGGTGGAGGTTGGCTGCTTCTCCTGTGACAGGACTAGAGTCTCCTAATGGCAGGACTAGAGAGACTGGCCTCGAGTTGTGCCAGTGGAGATTCAGTTGGACATTAGGAAAAATTTCTTCTCCGAAAGCATTGTGAAGTGCTGGAATGGGCTGCTCAGGGAGGTGTTCAAGAAACATTTAGATGTTGTATTAAAGGACGTGGTTTAGTGAGTAAATATTGGTGGTAGATGGATGGTTGGACTGGATGATCTTGGAGGTTGATGGTCTTGGAGGATGTCCTTTGTAATTCTGATTCTATGAAAAGCTTCATCCATCAGCTTAATCTTATGGATTCAGCAAGATACACCATGACTGCAAAAGATCTCCCTCGGTTCCTGAATTTCCAGCAGAGGAAGAAGTAGTTGTGGCTCATAGGAAGGTACATCATTTGTTCCACACATTAACCAGCTCTCGCCATATTCTAGTGGGACAGACGGAAGTTCTAATAAAATAAAGCCTTAGTGATAGAAGAGAAGAGGATGACAGTAAAAGTTCTGATCTCCACTTCTTTCTCTGGATGTTTCTGGGTACTTTTGAGGTAGCTTTGCTGAGTAGCAGAAATATGGATAAAATAGATTTGGGTTATATCCCAGTTTGAAGCCTTGGACTGAAAAGAAAAATGAATCAGGATATGATGAGTCTATTTATTTCAATATATTTGCAACATATCTTGATTTAGTCAGCCTGAGCTGTAGGATGTAAACTGACTGAAAGAGCTTTTTAATGCCCATATTTGTCTTCAACAATTAAGCCTTACTTCCTGTATCTTCCTGTCTTTCAGTTCCAAACTGACGCAGCTAATTCTTCTCTCTTTTCTTCTTTGCATTTCTCACTTACTCTTCTACTATCACCCACGTTTCTAGAGAGATGATCCACAACTGCCTGAACACTGCCAGCTAAGAGTTGCCCGAGGAGATGAGGGGTGGCTGCCTGCCCTGCAGGGAGACCTGAACGAGAGCCACCTGAGGAGCAGACCAGGTTCCAGCCCATGCAGGGAGCGGCTGCTGGGCAAGACAGGAGCCTGCTGGCAGCGCCAAAGGAAGAAGGCACAGAGAAAGTGGCACCCATGGGCCCCACCATTCAAGTGCTTGAAGAAAGCCACCACCCAAACCAGTGCTGCTCCAGCCCTGCCAGCCTTTGGCCCCCACCCTGCTGCCACTGAGCAGCCACTCCTGCTCCTCCACCTCACGTGGGACCCAGGTTTACAACTGATCCCCCACAGCGGGAGCTTCCCTGGCAGCCACAGACACCTGAGCAGCAGGCTCCTTGGGCTCTCCTTACCTTATCGCTTGCAATGGCTGTGCTGACAGCAGCCATGCTGATGCCACCAGTAGGACAGCCCCGTACTGCCCCAATTGCACCTACAGCTCATCAGGCACATGCAGGGGATGGACCAGCACCCTAGCATGGGACTCTCTGTAGACAGCAGGGACAGCAGCACCAATTACAAGTTCATAAGTTGAGAGGCCATAGATAATTCCGGAAAGAAGTCTGAGTAATAAATCTTCTCTGTTGTCAGGTCCTTTTAGTCATCCATTCATTCATTTAATGGTGAAATCTCAGAGTGAATCTGTATCAAAAGGAAGTATTCGAAAGGAAGTAGAAGCAATGGTTCTAGTATTTTGGTCGTGATTCCATTGGTTAGAAACATTCTGTGTACAATAGTTCTAAAAATCTGGTGTTCTTCTCTAAGAATGAAGCACTAGATTCTTAACACGGACATAGTGGCATTTTCTAGTAGGACCTGCAGAACAGCTTTCTGTTTGAAGACAAATACCTGCTTTTTTACCTGTACTTTATAGCTCTCCTGAGATTTCCATGCCCATTTTTTTCTGTAATCTCAAAGAGGCTGTCAGGCTATTTACTTTTTACTCAGGTACACACAAGCAAGCCCCAGACCATCTCATTATCAGGCTATGTTAGGCACTGCAGCGCAACTGATGATGCAGCTGAAAACAGAAGGCATGCTGCAAGACAATTTGAAACACAGCCATACAGGGTTTTATGTAGGAGACATGCTTTTCTTCCTCTAGACCTAGCATTTAACAGTAACCAAACGTCAAGTGAGTGCCTTTACAAAGTGCCTCCCAGCTCCTGGGACCCACCCCGTGAGGGAGCAAGCTACCTGCTTTGCACAGCACCTGTGGGTGCTCTGGTGCAGCTGCTTCAAGTAGGAGCCCTGGTTTCCTGTGGGTTGAGATGGAGGAGTAGGGTGGGCAGCAGTTACTGCTGCGTTTCCCCTGCTGCAGGCCTCAAGGCATGAGTGAGTGGGAATTTTCCCTTGGTTAAGGGTGTTTGCAAGAGCTTTTTGGGGTCTGTTTCTGTTCCTTTCTCCAGCTGAATGAGATTGCCTTCTTTTTAGTGAGTTGGGATTTCTGCTCTTCTTCTGCTAGGAGAAAGGTACTATCAGGCCCCACTCACCACCCTTGCTTGCTGTATGCAGTAGGTGCAGCAGCGTCCTCTCCATCCAGCCTGCTTCTGAGGATGGTTCTAATGTAGCAGCTGTGTCCTCTCTGTCACAGAAGCACTTTGCTATGCTTCTGGTACTAAGGAGTACAGTACAGTGTGGGACAAGCTGCAGGGCTTTCATTGCCATTGACTGATCAGTCTGAAGTCTCACTGTTTGTCTCAGGCTGGTTTATTAGGAAATTTGCTTCTGGTTAATTCCTGAGGAATTTCATTTGAGTCTTTAATTTCTGGATGAATGTTTATAAAGAGACCAGTGATGGGCTGAAAACATTGTTTCTCCTGGCCTCATTTTCTTTTCTTCCTATTCTAATGGGGGGGGCGGCGCGGGGGGTGGAATTGCAACTCACTGCATTTTGGGATTACCCCCTCAGCAAGTTTTGTTTTAGTGAGCTCCAGGTGGGTACAGAAATCTCAATGCCTGAATCCCATGGCACGTTCAAGGCTGTAGTGTTTCTCAATATTGCACATACAAGAGCATGCTTAGGTAAAGAAAGTCAAGCTGTTTAACAAGCTGAAGGTCTTGCAGCATCTCTGTATTTAGTATGGAGATTACTTGCCTATGCCCTCAACTTCCTTTCTTCTGTCAGAAATCTTGCAAAATTTAGATATCTGTATGCAAAATTTGTTGAGAATTAAACCATTGTTTTCTTTCCTCCTCTTTTGAAACATAATACCTATGATCAGTAAATTTTATAATTTTCTTTCTCCAACTTTTCTAGTTGCTTATGTAAATACATAGAATTACATTTAGAACATTTTGACGTATTTTTTAGGTGCTGTGGCAGTTATTTCTACAAATGCTTTAATGGAACAGCTGTATCTAAAATATCAACAAAGACCATGGACTGAAACTCTGAAACTTGTCCATTTTTGCATGGTAAGGACCTCAGATTAGGTGAGAGAAGGATAACTCGCATTAGAGCAAGTTGCCAAGACAACTCAATAACTGCTTGTCTTACAAAAACAACGGCAAAAACAATTTTAAGCACTTATTAAAGCCTGGCTTCTGACTTAACAGTAATAAAAAGCACAGATTTGATACCCTAGTAGTTGTTTCTTGCATTACTTTAACTTTTCTGGAATTAGTACTCATAGTCTGAGTACTTCTTATCTAGACTTTGATAATGAATTTCCATTCGTTATCATTGGTGTATTTGTAGTGTGTAAAGACAACTTCTTATTTATAGAATTGGGAAAAAAATGCTATTTTTGCAAAACTATCCTGATGTGCTTAAGCTGCTATTTGGAATTCTTTCTGCTGTGATATACCTTAAATCAGTACATGCTTCTTGCCTTTCCAGTGCCTTGTGATACATAAGAATCATCTCTGTAAACGGCAGCTTACTGCAAGTGCTATCAGCATAATGTAAAAACTTGTTTCCATGCTTCTTCATTCTTAATGCTTAAAATGCTTTATTAATGCTTAAGTGTTCCTCTGAAAGTGATGTCCTGACTTTGACAATGCTGAAAGCGTTTCAGCACTGGCTGTCCTTTGTTACTTGAAGTGTGACGGAGTTTTCAGAGAAGAATATGGGGAGTTTACTTGCCAGTTCAGCTACAGCTTACACCCTGACTCTAACCAAGTCACCCCATAGTGCCTACTGAGCTCTCACTTTCACTCATTCCTTCTAAAATGTAAACCTATGAAAACAGCTTATGTTAGGAGCCACAGCCTTTACTCAGCCTAAAAGCAAAGGGAATGGGAAGTGGTTTTCTGCGCCAAAGGCCTCCAGTGCGTGATTACTGCACAGTGGAGTTTTCATGAATCCACTCTGGACTGCCCCTTTGGAGAGAGCCATAATCATAGCTCACCTCTGTGCTTGATAAAGAGAAGTACTGTGTCGTCGGACTGCGCGTCAGAGTGCTGAAACTTGCAGGCAGTGATGTGCTTCTGTGGCTCTTATTTAAGGGGTCTTTGTCTCTCGTTTTCCCCCATGTGCTAGGATAAGCCACGTCCATCTCCTGCCAGTAATGCTCCAGATGCTCCGCTGCTCTCATGCATGGAGAAGTTGCAGAGGACTCTAAATGGTAACAAACTGTCAGTCATCTCAAAGTCTATTTTTTTAGCATTCCTTCCCAGTTCAGACAACTGTATGATTGCTGGCAATATTCTGCACGATGAAGCCAAACGTGCAAACACAGAGGTGGATGTGTTACAATACTTGTGACTCATCTTTGGGCTAAGCCTTCAGGCTACAGCTACTCTTGAAGCCTGAGAAGCAGCTCTACTCAGCACAACGCTCATTAATCACAGTTACCATTAATAACAAGAAGTCATGCAAGAGATATCACTTTTTTATTACCTAAATCACCCCATTTAGAGCAGGATAATAATGTTTCTCCTTTTTAATCATTGCAACTTAATTAAATAACATTTCCCTTATTACAGATAAATCTTTGTTTTCTGTGATGAACAGATTGGAATCTTTAGCCAAACAGAAAGGGTAAGTTTGTTTATTAAAAAATGCAAATGAGCAAGCAGGGCCCCGTGTCCAGTGAGGAATACCATCTGGATGGCTTATCAACTACATTTTTAGCATGGTGTTTTTCTGAGGTGCATCACTTGGAGTGGACTTAACAGGCTAATTGGAAGTGGCAGTTATGGGGGAGGTTGAGTGAAGAAAAGGAATTCATATCTAGGTCCCAAAGCTGCAAACTGAGATAAACAGTTTCCAGCAAGCTGACACAACAGCATAAAGAAACAGAGAAAGGTTATATTGCCTGGTTGGATATTTTTTATAAGCTGAGCCAAGGAGAAGTTATTTTTAAAGCATCCTTGGTGTCTCTTCCCACGACCAAATAAACTACACTCATTTCCTTTTTTCAAGTGACATTCAGATACAGAATTTTTTTTTCCCCTCTTTCCTTAGGCTTAACTCTCATGTTAGCCCCAGTGGGACTGCCTGCTACATAACCTCAGACATGTTTTATATAGAAGTGCAGCTGGAGAAGGATGGAAGGGTGATGGATGTAAAGCTGGCTCACCTTGGAGAGGCTCCTGTGGTAAAGTTAATTTTCTGGCTGTCACCTCCCTGTAGTCTCTCACCTGGCTTTCAGCTATGATGTCAGAAAGCTTTTGTCACACCTGGCAGTCTCTGCATGACACTGGGTGCCCCATTAGGCATCCGAATCTCTCACCTAAACTTACAGCTCAGCACAGATGTTAATTACTGTAGCTCAAATATCAAGGTGAAACTCGGCTGACGTGCCCGATTTCCAAGAAGTTTCTGGTACCCTGCATAAATATAGGGTTATAAAATAGTCTCCAATCCAAGATGTAGTGCAATATACCTTACCAGTGCAGCTGTCTTTGAATGTCTTGGAGCTGTTACCAGAGATTGTTTTTCCTTCTTCCTTCTTTTTAAGTATATGCATTCCTGCTAATAAGGATCTTTTTTTTTTTTTTTTTTTTCCTGCAAAATATTTAAGGTATTGGTAAAATACCACTGCAGTTCACATAGCATCTTGTGCAGTTGTTTGGTGTTACAAGTGAGCATTTGGATCACAGTTAAAACAACTACCTGCTGCAGACTAATTGTCTGTGGGTGGAAGCATAAACTATGATCAATAGCCCTGTGCTAGTTAAACAGAATAACTTGAAATTCCTGGAAAAAAAGGGACCAAACTAACTGCAAATTAATGTAAAGCACAAATGCTTACTGATAAAAATCACTTGATGCTGGGCAGTATTACTAGGGAAATGCATAGCCAGGAATTTTAGCACAGTAACTGCCTATTAAAGGAAAAAACTGGCAAAGGTGCTTTTTTTTTTTTTTTTTTTTTTTTTTCCTTCCCTGAAACTAATATACCAACAAGTGATTTCAGCTAATTATATCCTCTTCCACAGAGCTCTCGTAGTTACGATAATAAAACAATATGATGTTAACTTAATATTTTTAATAATTTATAATTTAAAGCAATAAGGAATAAGCTTATCATTATCAGTGTGTTTCTCTGAGATGTTTCACGAATGATGATCAGAAACATGAAACTGTTCTCTCCTGTTGTAGATCTGTGATGACTTGGTGCAGCACCTAAGGTAAAGAATTGTGTGTGGAGTCTCATTTGAATGGAAAGGAATTCCTGAGTCTTGTTTCCCTGAATGCTGTGGAGAAGTCAAGGCTAGGATGGTTTGGGTGTAGTAACACAAATATTTGTGTAACGAAACAATGCAAGAATCTGGAAACAGTAATTGGAGTTGGGAAAACAACAGACTGACGGCTTTTATGGGATTTTATGTGGGAGGCTGGTTTCAGTGCTCTGCATTTGAAGGTTGACACTGTTATTTCCAGATCACAATCTGTAACTTCAAGGATAACACAGAATTTTACTGTTTTTCTCAAGTCACTTCATTGAAAACAGCTAAATTGCATCTGCTCCTGTGGGTGGTAGAGGGCAACGTTGTACAGCGGTACGTGGGCTCTAGCTGCCAGCTGAATGGAGCTGTTCAATACTGGTATTTTTGTTGGCTTCAGGAAAAAAAAAAAAAATTACAAATCAGGCCTGCACCTTACTCATCTTTTTTTTTTCTAGTCCTCTTTCCTCATAAATGAAGTTACGTTTGTTTTTGTAGGTGTTAACAGCTGTCTTGGAGCTTTAACTTGCATTTTCGTAGGTTTTTGACTCCTAGAGGCGTTAACTGCCAGCAGTTCTGTTCTGAGTGATGGTAGACAGCACTCACAGTGCCAGTGGTAACTACTTGGCAGCATTCTTGTTTTTGTGAGGATATGACATATAGTGCAAATATCACTTCTACAGAGCCTAGTGCAATATTTCAGTTGGTCCTAAGGCACAGGTTGCAACCATGTGTGTGCCCGTACCTGCATGCCTGCTTCCCCTCTCTTTCCCCCACTTCCCAAACAGTCCAGTTGGAAAGTCATAAATAAAGTAGAGCAACCTGCTTACATTTCTCTGTGGGAAGATTTGTCCCATTGTGAAAGTCCAGCAGGTTTTACTTGGTCTGTCTGTGGCCACGCACTGCAGCCCTACCTGCACGCAGAGAGTGGAGGTAAGCCTTGAGCACAGCCATCAGTGTGACTGCAGCATGGAGAGTTCAGCAGGGTGCTGTGAAGTGCACTGTTAATACAGTCCTTGATATTTTGATGAAAAGAACACTGTATGAGTGCACGGTGTTGGGGAAGTGTTACTACATGACTAGATTCATTGGGACATCAGGGAGAGTGCTTGCAGCTGATGAGCTACGTCTTGAACTGTCAGATTTGTGTATCATGCACATTTATTGCTTTCAGTAATGCATATTTAAATAGTGTCAACTATAATTACATTGCTTTCTGCAGCAGAGCCAAGGATTTACATTTCCTGGTATCTTCTAAGAAAACTCAAAAGCAGTACTGTTACGTGCCAGATCTGATAAGAAGGGAGACTGTGTCATTGTTTCAAATGATGCCTTTTCTAACAAGTTAGGTATAAAAAACTTGCTATCCATCTCGTTAAGTGGTGTGGTACTAACTGCTTTTTATTGTTAGGATGAAGAACTATGACACATTTGGAAAGATTCTAGAAGACCTGTCAAATCTGTATCAAATTCCAGGAAACAGGTTGCAACCAATTGTTACTTGAAAGACTTAAAATCCATAATTTAGCTTCCGTGTACTTACAAGCACAGTAATGCATCTTCTCTCTCTCCCAGTGAAATGAAAGCTAAGGGTTACCTTGCATTGCAATCTCTTGAAAAAGATCTTTATTCAATGTCTCTTCTACACAGGTAACTTGAAGTCTACTCCTTCCTTCCTTTCCCTTTACTTCTACCTCCAGCCCTGCATTTTGCTAAAAAAAAAAAACAAAACAAAACAAACAGCTGATCTAATTATAGAGCAGGATGTGGAAAACTAATGAATTTTCTCCCACTGGAAAGCTGGAAGACTTTTTGTGGTTTGCCAGCCTCAGGGACACCAAACAAGATCAGCTGCTGAACTCCTGAGCTTTATCTCAGAGGCTTGCAGTGAAACTGGTTAGCCACCCAGCCTGGGTGTGTGTGTGTGTGTGTGTGTGTGAAAACAGCTGCTGGGAGAAGACAGAATGTTGTAGAGTCATTGATAATTTTATTTTATTTTTTTAGTCAATCATTTTTTTAATCCCATCTATTTTTGCAGCAGTAGAATATGCCTTTGGTAGTCCTGCTTTTTTGGGTATCTCATTTTTCTCTTCGAGCTCTAGAGAGGAGAATGGGTGCAGTATCTTTCCCTCCATCCTTCCTTTTCTCATTTCTCCTTTTGAGGAGCAGGCTTACAGATGGATGTGAGCAGATTTCCCTCAACCTTCTGGTTATTCAACGGTGATTTTTTTCATTCTTTTCAGAAAAGCAGAATTGAGGGCAATGCTTTCCTTCTTGACATCACATCCTTGCTAATATTACTTCAGTTAAATAGATTATTTGTCCCTTTTATGAGATCAGTCAATGCACTGCAGAGCTTTAATGCACACCTACATAACTGTACATTTACAATCATATCTGAGGTTTGAGATCGGCTCCATTTATTTCAGTTTATCCAGGTTATTTTGCCACTCTTTGCCCAACCAGTCATGCCTGTATTTTTGTTCCCTTCAATTCTGGTAAACAACACAACAAATTTCAACCTGAAAAAGCTGAGGTACAGGGCTAAAGCTGGAAGCCTAAGTAATGCATGAGTGGAATGACAGTATTTTGGAAGCTGATGTAACAAATGGAAACATATCCACTTCCCAAGAAAGCACTGTCTCTGATTAAGAGTGCAAATTATCCTTTACATCAACCTCAGCAGCACTGCAACTTAGGAAACACTAATCAAGATGTTTTGAACTAGATCACAGGATGTAAACAGAGTTACTGAAGTACTTCATGGAAAAGTAGGACACCTGGTGCCAAGAACTGGAGGTGATTATTATTATTATTTCCTTCACTAGTTCAAAAATACTGTAATGAAACACCCCACTGCACTGATCTTGGTTTTTTTATTATTATTATTTGTTTTTTTTAATAGAAAAGATCCTCTGTTTTAAGTGCGTGTGCTTTATGGACTCACTGGGTCTCCGCTCTCTGATACTGTAGGGACAAACACAGCCAAGGAGGAAAGACAAGGAGGCCAGTGGCTTATCAGCTACTGTAGCATTGCTTTTGCAGCTGCCTAAAAGCAAAGCCACAAAACTTTGAGGTTATGTGGAAAGCCACATTTTGGGAGTAACTGTGAGATGGCAATGGCAGCAGCCCAGATAATGCTGATGTTGCATGAAAGGCAAATACAGTAAATTTTTATGCCTCATCAGTAGTGAGCTTCAATTGTAAGTGAGTCACAGTTCATAAAAGTACTTCTAGTAAGTGCTAACATTATGCTGTTGCACAGCAGCATTATGAATTCTTCTTATACTTCAGACTAGTTGCTAAAAGCTAGAAGTTCAGCTAATATCTCTTAGGGCACAACAAAAGGTTATTGTGCAAGATAAAACCTTTGAAAGATGTCTGATGACTTTGTGTATTGGGGACTAAGCTGTTAAACACTGAGAAAACGCTGTGATTTGGACATCTGCTGTAATTAGAGATACCTCTTACGAGGTATCCTTTCTGCCCATCCTGTACTTTTCTTTTTTTTCCCCCTTTGCATCAAGATACCTAACAAATGTTCTGTATTGGCATGTATACTGATGGTTTTCTTGGTTGTTTTTAATTTCCCAGGAACTCCTATGAACATCGAATTTTACATTTCTCCATATCAAATTTTGGAAGCAGAGCTCAATCCTGGTAAAGCTAGGAAACTGGAAATAATTATATAATGAGGCAATTTTTTCATAATTACCCTTTTCATTAAGTAAAAGACATTAATGAAACTCAAAAATAAGTCAGAATTGTTACTGTGTCCCCACCCTACGTTGAAAGTTTCCTACTGGAAAACCTAGGATGTTTGCTTTGCTATCATTTCCTGTTAAGTGAAAGATTTATGTGATGCTGCTCGGCACAGTTGCAATGTTCATCAGCAAACTGCTTTCCCATTTCTTGCCTACCTATGCAAATTGAAGCGAGGGTGGTATCAAACAGAACAAATACCTAGCCAGCATGAAACAACAACTCCAACAAAGTGGTGGGTTGAGCTGTTCCATGGCATAGCCCAGCTACTGCTGAAACCACCAGTGGGCAGCTCTGGCCATGCAGTGTGCGCGGTCTGAGCTTCTCCTTTCTGCCCAGCTGCTGTCAGTTGAATCTCAGCTTTCCTTACTGATGAGTGTTTTGTGTGCATAGGATTAATCTACTCTGAAATGGGGAAAGTCAGTTTCCTTTCTCCCCCAGGTTCTCTGGTGTGTGGAACAAAAGCAGTTGTAACTGTTGAAGGCACAGATGTGCTCCACAAGCTTCCTCTTTCTCCACTGGTTGTAGACTCTCAAGCTGGAGAAGATGGGTGAGGTTCTGAGTGCTTCTGAATGTGGCAATGGATTTACAAATTGCTGGCGTGGACCCCAGCATAACTTGCATTTAGACTCTGCTAATAGAATGGATACACAGCTTGCTGAGGAAGCTCTGTGCTGTTGATGTCTTTATCCCTTATAAGCTATAACTTGCATACCTGTGGCTTTTACTGTTTTCCCAAATGAACTTTAAAATTATTATGTCGCTATTTAGCTGTCAACTGCACAGAGTTATGGGTTTATTCACAGATTTGAAGCCAGAAGAAGCCACTGGGATATTACTTAGCATCCTACTATTCAACAAGCAATACATTTCTAGAGTAAATGATGCATGCATTAAGGTGTATTTATACCTAAATCATGCAAAGTAGTTTGTCAGCCCACTGACACCACATTTCATTACTTCAGTAGGGAAAATCTGAAGTCATTCTCCAAAATAAGTCGCTACAGAATGATTGAGAGCAAATCTTCTTCTGCCCTGTTCCTCAGTTTCCCCCACAGCTCATTTTTCCCTTCTGCCAGTGTTCACGTTAAACTTGTTTTAGCACACAGGGGTTGTAGTTGTGCTTAGAATGCAAAACTTTTCTTGAAGAAGAAGAGTACAGGTCAGAGAAAACCACTAGAGACGTGATTATGGCCTTGCTCTAGAAGTCTTTGTTTTATATATAAAAATATTTTTTGTCTCTTCTCGCCAGCAGCCCTACTTTTTTGCCACTGACCAATGAACTCAGCATGGATTTGTCAGCTTATTTTTTGTTGAAGTTTCATCAGCCTATTCCTCTGTCCTTATCCAGTATTGAAGAGATACAGATGCTCACAGGCACGTTACGATTGTTTTTAAGACTAAGTAATTTGTGACCACTCGTGGTAATGTAGTACAAGTTAAAAGTGGATTCTGGGGTAGAAAATCTTCTGTACTGTATCAACCTGTACATCAATTTTTAAAGCCAAGGCAAAGTTGTTAAACACTATCTAAAATATCTTCAAGTTGTTGATTGCCATCAGCAAAAAAGGAAAGAAGGAAGGCTAGTGTGTTTATGTTATGTTTTCTTTAGTTTGTAAAAACTAGTTTTCATGTACAATCTAATCTAAAAGCTAATAAAAAACATCTTCTGGTTTCAGGAATTCAGATTACTGCCTTGAAACTAGCTCCTTTGTATGAGCTGATTATTCAATCTGCCCTTAACGAAAAAGGCAGAGAAGATTTGTCTACGCACAACTCCTGTTTCATTGTGGTGAGTATACTGCATGTTTGACAGATGTTGCCCTTGTGCAGTGAATATACTGAAACATATTTCTCCATAGTAAACAACATGGGCTTCCCAGAACCCCAACAGGATTTCAGTACTCTTTAGGAAATAGTTCAAATAGCTTAAGAAATAACAGATTCTTTGAAGTAAGCAAACTTGTCATCTGTGTTAATGAGGCACTGTATTCATGGCTGCTGAAGTCATACTGATTTGTCTTTGTGCAAATGCTTACTCTTTAAACTATTGTTCAAAACTTTCTCATTACTGCTTTAAAAAGAAGGAAACTTACTGCCTGGTGTGAGGAGCACGTCTCAGATCAGCACTTAATAGTGATAAACATGCAGCAAAACTCTGTAACAGAAACAGGCTCCTTGATTGAATAACACTGAAAATACTGATTCCTTTTAGAGGGACTCTAAAGAGTCCCCTTCTTAGAGAAGTGTAAAGCATTACCACCGTGATGTCGGTTACTATTTAGAGCCATGGCCATTTGACTGCAGATGGCTTCCTTTTCAAGATATCTTATTAGAAAAATATTTCATTTTAGGCTGTTTTAGAATAGAAAATGGTGGCTAAGATGCTGTGTCTCAAAATGTGTGTACAAGACGAGCTTCAAAGATCTCCTTGCTCGGAAGCACTGTTTTTGCAATTCATGGCAACAAGAGAATACTTCTTTCCCTTCTGTTATCACCAAGCTTACTGCCTATGTTCTTGGACTTTGGGTTACTTGTGACTTTGCTACAGAAGATAGTAGTAGTGAACTTACACCACATTAGAATCAAGTAGTGAAGTTCTCGTCTACAAGACCCAGAAGATAGGAAGTTTTCATTTCCATTAGGGACACATGACAGGTTCTAACTATTCAGCAGTTCTCTAAAATACCTGATGATTGTTTTGCTTCTGAGTTTTAAGACTTTATTTACTGATTCATTTCTAGAAATAGAGTCCTAACCCTAAAAAAAAAATGTAATGGAAATCCTTCTGTTACACAGACACGCACAGAAAAGCTCTTCTATTTTCTTATCCAGCTCTTCTTAATTTAGACCTTGCTAATTAACAGACCAGCCCTGTTCTTAAAGTGACAGCTCCCCAGTTGGTATCCTGAAGAGCAAAGACTCCTGGGAGCAAAGATTTTGGTTGTTAAACATTTCTATAGTCTCTAGGGCTGCTATGAAGAATTGGACTTGAACTCCTGAGTATTTGACTTGTAGCTTTGGATATATTGCCCTAATATGCTTTTGCAAAATGATCTCATTTAGCTTCTGTCTATAGATTATACTTGTGTTGAAATGCAGAGACACATGATGAACTTGCTATAAGCGTGCCTTCCAAAAGTACCTTTGCTGTCAGATCATGCAATTGCTTGGCAGTGTTGGGCCTTAATTTCTTTGCTTCCTTATTTTCAGTGTTTCAAATGTCGCCGTATTTGTTGTTCAGTCTCTTCCAGATTGCCCAAAGCACTGTTATTTCATAAACAAGGGCCCCGAAAAATCAAATTTAGCAGGAGCCTTGCTGAGTAAAATCCCATTTACCCACCCGAAGTGTGTGCCTGCTGTGATAGAGATTCTTCGACATCAGGTGGCATATAACAGTCTTATTAGCAGCTGTGTCTCTGACAAGTGTCTAAGTGAAGGTAAGTTGGAAGTAATGACAGAATATGAGAGGAACTAACTTCTAAACTGGTTGTCAACAGATTTACTACTCCCTTGCTAAAGCTGTCATTACTTGCAGAGCATTTTAAATGATCAAAAGTCCTTAATTCTAATAATGTACTCTGAATATTAAAAATATACATATATATTTTTAAATCTCCTGGAAGGATAAAATATGTTGCTAATGTAATGAGTAATTCCATTCTGTTGCACCAGTATTTGTAAAATTCTGACATGTAATTCTGCCGAGAGTCCAGAGTTAATGAGGAAATACCACTAAATAGTAATTTTATTTCCAGATGATTCAGAACTGCTTTACTTTGAAGTGACACCACACAAGAACACCAGCTTTTCTGTCTTCTTCATTCATCCGACGAGAGAGAATTTAGCCTGTGGTATGTGTGGAATAATTTGTATTATCCTTTTTATTTGGCTGACTAGGAGCTCGGTTTTATCACAGCTCCTGCACTGTGCTTCTCAGTTACAAATTCTGTGGGCTGCCCTTGATGGTGTGCAACCCCTTGGAAAATATGAAGTAGCATTTGTTTGTAGTTGTCTTAAGTGTTCTGTATTCAGGATAAAAGGGAAAGTAAATTCAAATTCTGTCTTATTCTGCCTTATTCTGTCTTGACCTGCAGTTAATTAATAAACTTTGACATTTATTACTGATCATTAGGATATAAGGAAAAACAAGTCTTATGCAAGAGCGTTGCTGCAGGCCCCCTACCTACTGGTTTCAGAATTGACTCTCTTGATGTTTCCAAATCAGATAAAATAGTTTTTAGTTAAAAATATATATATGTATATTTTGAAATACTCATGTGCTGTTCTTGCTTAGTGACTATTGATGTCGTAACCTCCAGAGAAGTCCAATGCAGCCTTCATTTACATCCCGAAGATCCAACTCTAAATTCTAGTGATGGCTTTATATCGAGATCTGTGAAGTGGTAAAGTTTTATTTCTTACTACTTAGAGTAAAGGTTAGATGTCCCTTTAATGGACATATAACCAAGTCCATGCAAATATCATGTGCATTAACAATACCTTAGACTCAGCTGATCAGAAAAATTCCCTGTAAGAATGAGTTTTAAGAGTGAGAATGAGTTACTTTACTTTTTAAGTATTTCTTACACAAATTTTAAAAAAGTAATGATGAAAAGTGTTTCTTTCTAGTAGAAAATTTGTGCATGGTGTAATGGACAGAATAACATCTACCTAATATCAAACAGTGCTTCTTTTTTTCAACAGATAAGGCTACAACACTGTCTCTGGCTTGCTTCCTGAAGTTAAAATTCCAGGAAAGGCCAGTTGATGTGGTGTATGAACGTATGCAACACAAAGGGCTAAGAGCACTCATTCGTTTTGCATTGGTTAGCACACAACTATGAAACATTCAATGACAGCAAGATCAATGCAGCCTGCATTTTAGATTTGTGTAGTTAGTCTGCCTTGTCATAAGACACTAGATACTGTTCTTGGAACTACATACCTCCACTGATAGAATGGGGAAAAAAACACAAAGACCTGTTAGTAGAGATGCTGATTTAGAGAAGAAAGGCTCTGTACCCATCTCATACAAAACACAAAAAGCTACAATTAAAAAAAACCTCAGTGAATATGAATATATTTCAATATCATTACTTCAGGTTTTCATTTAAAACCCCTTTTTTTGACCTCCCACTTTTTTTTTTTTTTTTTTTTTTTTTTTTTTTTTTTTTTTTTTTTTTTTAAACAAAACCTCTTTGCACTGGTAAACATGAGAGATGAATCTCTTGAATTTGTTGCATCAGCACAGGTTTCCAGTATGGCATATGCAGGTATATTGTAGTTACAGTGCAATGCCTATTAGGCTGCACAATGCCAAAAGCAGCTTCTTTCAGAAAGCATATGGTTTACGTGTCAGCCACAGCTTAAAAAAAGAAGTACTCATTTGAAGAATGGATGAAGTCTGTAGTAGTGATTAATGTTTCATTTCCTCCTTTAGCTGCATGTCAGTCCCAGTTGTCATGAGAGCTATTTTCAGGAACGCTGCCAAGGTGGGAGCTGATAGTGAAACACAAGGCACAGAAGTAGACACAAAACAAAAACCTGAACTGCAGCGTGAGCAAATTACTGATTCTAATAGTCTTGAAGAAAGTCCTTCTGTAGCTGGACAGCAAGATCTGGTTAAGACAAATAAGGAAAGTGTTCCAGACAGCCCAGAACAAAGACTCTCTACAGCCAAACTGGAAACTCTGGGTGATGAGATGGAAAAAAGTAACACTACAGTCAGCACAGAAACTTTGTCCGGAGTGGAAGGAAGTGATTCCACAGCTAGCACAGAAGCTGCAAGGAAAGATAAGTGAAATGCATCACAAAATCTATTGTTCAATAATCAAGCAAGAGAGCAATATGTTCCCAAACATAACTTGCTTTTGCAGTAGTAGATGGAGAGAACTTGGCAAGCCTGCTGTCTACTTAATTTCTGAATGGAGTTTCCTGTTTATGCACTACTACCTGCATCCAAATAATACTCTTCAACTTGCACTTTTTCCTTGGTAACCATTGGTTTTGTTTCATCACATTCTACTACAGGATAGAAAAAAAAATCTGTTTGATTTATGTGATGCAGGTTATAACACAACGAATGCACTACAAACAAAGTATTTATCAGTGTCAGTATTATGTTAAATAAATTGAGAAAAAGCTGTTTGAGCAATTCTGTCATGTATAATGTATGCAAATAGCCTTATTCAATTCCACTATTTCAGTAACAACTTCAGTATGAGATTTTTAATTGCACAGTTAATTTTTGTTGTTGTTGTTCATCTAATGCAGAAAGTGGTACTGAATTGCAACCAAACTCAAAGCGTAACAACTCCATGGCAGGATAATAGCTTTTATTAAAAAATTCACATTATTTTTTCCAAACAATCAGTTCTTAATTCTTGCTTCTTGGTTGTGGCTTCAAAGTGTAAAACCACTCTGTGCCTTTGTTGTTGTTGTTGTAATTAAGTCAGTTGTTTAAAACTTAAGTTTTCTCTGTGTAGACCTACTTTGTAGAAGAAATTTAAAAGCAAAATAAAGTACACAAACTCTTGACTTAGTGATTAATTACTATAAAACAGAGAGAAGAAATCTTTTCTTTGTGAGTATCTAACCAGAGGAATTTGTAGCTACAGTTTAGGCATTTCTATAGGAACCATTAGGTCATGGTGAAGGGGTGTAGCCAGCCCTGGGAGCACAGCTGGAAGCAATTCCTCTGAGTGACTGGAAGGGGTTGATCATAAAGGTCCAGCCCTACCTAACTTTCTTTAAGGGCTGGCAGCTCCAAGGGAAGCATCACTATCTGGACATCACCCTTTGGGATGCTTGGTGAGCCCTGAGCCTCAGAAAAAGGTAAGGGGTTCCTTTTTTATTACTGCTACCTTTTTTGGGTGATCCAAAACTGGTTTAAAGCAACTGTATTTGCTGCCTCCTATCCTTACAGCAAACAAAAGGAAAAGAAATCAAATACAGAATGTTGGAACAGAAATACTAAGTTGTTAGATACGTGTTTGGCTAACCACGTTTTCAAGAGATGGTGAATAAACCTGGCTTCCTGCTAGAGCTGGAGAAGTAAACTGTAAACAAGAGAGAGTTCAAGATTAAGGGACTAGCAAATAAATACAAAACTAACGCAAGGGCATTCATTAGACTAGAAATGTGTGATGTGGTTTGAAAGGGTAAGAGTAGCCAGTTTTCTGTTAGAACAGCAACGCAAGTTTGACGTTTGAAAAGAGTGGTGTGCTTTCAGCAAAAGCAAAATAAATAGAACTGTAAGAAGAGGGGGAAAAAAAAACACTGTGAAAGTGCACTGCACAATGATTATAAAAGGTGAGAGAAGAAATCTGGCAAAAGATGAACTTTTTTTTTTTTAAATACAGTAACAAAGGAAACTCCTGGCACACTGGAAATTAGCAGAGCCTGTTTTGTTTGGTTAGCATGTAATCAACAGCAGACCATTTTGCAAGACTAGCTTGTCCACAGCACTGGTCAGTTGGTTGGTTTTTTTTGTTTGTTTGTTTTATTTATTTGTATAGTAGAAGATGTTGCTTGAGGTCCTGATCTGTTTTCAAATACCAATAGATAAAATGAGGTGACAGGACAGATTTTGACGTAGATGAGAGACATGATAGTAAATCACTGCAGAGCTTTACACATCACTTCCCTTTTCTGTGGAAGATACATTTCTGACTGCAACCAGCTGTCTTTGGGCCAAGAAACAAAGCATGGTAACACTTACAACCTCTGCTTGGAAGTATAAGATCAAACTTCCCTAAAGTGAAGCCTGGACCCACAGAGTGCGAATCCAATCCAGCTGAGATAACTTGAAATAGCATGAGGCAGAAGAACTAATGTTCCAGTTGCTGGATGTGATGGAGTACATCCAGTGATAAGCCCAGTTGTTCTACCAACCCAACAGTTTGCTTTTTAACCCAAGCAAGAGTTGACTTGTCAGGATCTGTAAAGAGTTTCTCCCTGCTGCAGTCAGACCACAAGGAACCATTCTCACCATTATTTCTACAACAGTTTTCACCACATCCGCCAACATGTTCATATTTTTCAGCATTAACTTCACTGCACTCTGTTCCAGCTGGAGCTGTATGACTAAGGTCCATGTCCTGGACAGAATCTAAAATGTCTCCAACGTTTGGTTGTAGTTGAATAGAAGTCAGAGAGTTAAGTAGGTCTTCTTCATGCTTTCCAACAACCTCTAGAAGGTTATTTATCTTTCTTAAAGCAGAATCATGTCCGTTAAGATGACACCAGGATAAGAGAGCACTGAAAAGTGAAGAAGAAAATAAAGTCAGCGCATGTAGTCACACACATTTCCAGCTGTTGAAGGGAGAGAGCAATGTGACAAGAAATCTGCACTATACAAAAACTTCTGAACACTTCATTTCCATTTCCTGGGAAAATTGTGTAGATGAAATGAATTTCCTTGAGGGGAAGTGTTCATCTGCCTGAGGGTAGGAAGGTCCTGCAGAAGGATCTGGACAAGTTGAATCAAAGAGCTGAGGCCAACTGTAAGACAACAAAACTCTCAACCTGCTCGCAATGCTTATTTTGAGGCAGCCCAGGATACAGTTGGCTTTCTGGGCTGTGAGGACACACTGCTGGTTCAAGTACAGCTTGACATCCTCCAGTAACCCCCTCATTATCATTAAGAGTGGCTTGTCAATTACATCAGCCAATTCCCTCAGGACTCTGGAATGCATCTCAATGGGAACCCGTGCACTTTTTGGATGTTCAGATTCCTCAAGTGGTTGCAAACTTGATCTTTGCTAACAGTGGGAGGGAGATTGCTCCTCCAGTCCCCACCTTCCAATCCATCCACTCAAAGGGTGTGTGAAGAGCAGCTGACAGTGAAGACTGAGGCAAGGAAGTTGTTGAGTACCTCAACCTTCTCCTCACCTGTTATTACCAGCCTGCCTGTACACTAAGGATATACACCTTCCTGCATTTGTATTCCCTGTATTCAAAAGCTGAGCTCAGACTTCTCATGCTGCTTGCTTTGGATTGACTTACAAAGCACTTTTTAGCAATAAAAAACAAATGAACAAGAAACCCAAGCACAACCACATATGAACACGCACCCTCCACACATACCTTCCACATGGACAGACTCCTAAGAGATTTATAACTTACTTCAGGGTCCCTCTGAATTGGCCACATGTAGCCATCAGCTCAGCACCTTGTCTATAACCTTGATTGAAGCCTTCTTGGAGTGCAAGTTCCTTCCCAGCCTCAACACCATCTCTATAGCCCTCCTGTAACAGAAGTGGTGAAGTAGGCTTTTCACGACGTGCAGAATTGAACCAATGAACATTTCACAACAATAAAAAACCTACAACAAGCACCCAGTCTCTTAAATCACAGCTTTTTTTGATTTGAACATTCCACTCAGCTACGCCACTGCCAAACCAAAACACATTTTTTGCAGTGCATAGAATCATTTACTGTTAATGCTGCTGATCTGTTAACATGGAGTTATTTTCTAAACACATCTCCATCTAGGTCAGAAAATAAGGAAAGTGCTTTGCTGTAGACAAGTCTACTTTTTTTTTGCAATGCCCAACTCCCTTAAAATTTTTTCCTTGGAGAATTCAAATTTATTTCTTCATCCTCTAATCACCTTACCATCCAAAGTAGAATAATTCTCAACTCTTTTCAAGTTATAAGAAGGAAAACTTCTATTTGATCATGAGAAAATAAAAGTGGTGGCCTTGCTACAGAAATAGCCAAGAACGTTATTTTGCCCAACATACAGCTCTGTCTTCAAGAGATTTTATGCTTTTTGCAGTATCTACTCACAAAATACCAGGGAAATTAATTTAAGAATGATAAGCAGCCCCTTAAAAAAGCCAGCCTTTATAAGGGACAGAGATGCAGAAAATTCTTCCTTGGAGAATAATACAAAAGTTGTTATATACTTCCTCACCAACAGCATGCACAAAAGCTTCCATTTATGTTCTTCAGCCTTCTGTTGTTCACCCACAAGATAAGCCCTAGTGGGCCCAGTCTGAATGAAAACATGTCTGAGAAACCCAGCTTTATGTATTTGTTTTGTTCTCTGCTTTCATAAAATGTATTTTCCACTAAGTGAATAAATAAGCCAAAGATCTACTCAGACCCTTAGTAGTTCACACCAAATATTAAAAACAACAACAAACCAACCCACCAACAAATACCCTGTATTCTTTGTTAGCGCTGATTAACCTGCAAGTATGAAGCAAATGGGTTACATGAGAATGTAACACTGCCTTTTAGAAATCACATGGTTGTGTAGAGGGGATCAATATCTTTTTTGGTAAAACATTACTTTGTCCTGACAGGCTACTAAGATAGTAACTCCCTGCTAAATTTTCTTAACATTCAGAAGAAACCAAGCCACAATAACTTTTGTACAGCCATTCTTAGTTTTCCCACTTAAATCAGCCACATGTATAGCAAGACGTTATTGGCAAATATAAAATACTTAAAAAGACTATAAAAATCATGCTTAGAGAAATACCTTCAATCTCTTTTCCATGGTGCTATTCCATTCTTTCTGTACTGGATACATCTCGTCTGCATCTTCATCAAATATATCCTCATTGGATCGACTGGCTACGACTTGTACCCAGGACATAGCAGCAGTGATGACACTTAACTTTTGTTGATGGTGTAAAGCAAATACTGAGAAACTCTCAGGAGCCTCCCAGCTAAGCATCAGATTAGAAACAAAAGTAAGCAACACGAGTTCTGAAGAGGTGATTATTCAACCTGTGCATTTGTTTCCACGTGTAAACTGGATGCCGTTCACCACTGGAGCTCATCTGTCAAAGGAGACAAATCACCACAGGTAAAGCACCCTGTGTGATTTACAAGGACAATTTAAGGCTAATTTCTTCCCTTCTTTACTTCTTACATCAGTAACAAACAGACGCACACCAAATAAGCGTTTCTAAATGTTGCTAGTTACATGAAGAGCAGACAGAAACAATCCAGAGCTATAAAATTTTGATAGCAGCCAACAAACAGTCCCAAACAGCTTCTGAGCAGTGCATTAAGTTATATGCGTATCTAATTGCCAGCAATATTCTGACCTTGATAACTGATGATGACTTTCACCTTTGATTTTCAGTTTCCCAACTTTGCCAGGTGCTTAACGTAGCCTTATAAATCTTGACTAAAAAACCACTGCTTTATTTTTTGTATAATTTTTTTTTGTATAATTAGTTCTGATGTAAAGAGAGGAATAAATAATGCCATTACTTCATCTTTTGCACTGAGAAAACCACTCACAACTAATTGGTGGAAGTTTTTACAACCCACAAAATGGTGTTTCTTGCCGTTATGTGTTAAAATAGAGAGAGTGTGAGGAAATGACACTTTGGGGCTCACCGTATCCAATTTTTACCTTCACCAAAGCTTTCAGACTTTCTGGTACCCTTACACAGAGTCTTTGGGAACGTATTAAAGCAGTTAAACAGCTGCTCTAAGAACCGCAGTTCTTAAATACAAAGATCACTAATGTGAACTGACTGCTTTACCAGCTCCAACGTCCAAAGCGTGGTGAAAACCAAGCAGTCACAGCTGTACAGCAGCACTTCGGGCTTGAGACATTACCGTGTTCCAAAATATCCAACAAGACAGCTCGCTCGCTACCGCATGTTACATTTCCTTAAACCGCCGGCTGCAGGACTGAGAAGATCCAGCCTTCTTCAGACCTGACGGCAGGCGGAATCCCCCCTCGCCGGTCCAAGCTGAGACCCCGCCGTCCCCAGCTCTCACCGCGCCCTCCGAGTCGCAGCGCTCCTCCGCTCGCAGGGGGCCGCCATCTTGACTGAGGGCACACCAGCTTCACTGCCGTCGGAAGCAATACGGGAGAGACACCTCCTCCACGTCTTGGGCGAGCTCCGCGGCCCGTAAAAAACCGCCATCTTAATCAGCAGCCCCGTAACTTCAAAGCCCGTCTGAGTCATTGGAGGCTGGCAGCCATCTTGAGTACGGGCACGGGCTGACAGCTTCCGCAAGGAGGCGGGGCGGGGAGGGGAGGCTGCAGCGTCGCGCCGCGAGGGAGCGCAAGCAGCGGATGAGACGCTGTTCTCAAGGTGTCCTCAGCAGCCACAAGATTTGGACATCGCAAGAGTAAATCCTTTTTAATGGCAAGGGTGCCAGCAGGAGTGAACTGTTTCGTTGTTTGCTGCTATTACAGCAAACAGCAACATCATTCTGACACAACTGCAACAATTATTTTATGTTTTTCTTGCTGCTCGCAGTACTTGGTACATGAGCTCATGCTAATGTCTCATCGGCATAAACATAATATGTGCCAACCTTGAATTCCAGTTGTGTATTTCTTCACATTGCCAAATATAATGAATGCTTCTGCATGTCGCTGAGTGCTCGTGCACCTTGTCCAGAGCAGTGGATCCCCATAGAATCACAGAAGGGCCTGGGTTGCAAAGGAGCACGATGCTCATCCAGTCCCAACCCCCTGCTGTGTGCAGGTCGCCAACCAGCAGCCCAGGCTGCCCAGAGCCACATCCAGCCTGGCCTTGAATGCCTGCAGGGATGGGGCATCCACAGCCTCCTTGGGCAACCTGTTCCAGTGCCTCACCACCCTGTACGACAACATGAACTGGGCTGGCTGTGCTGCTGCACTCGCATTCACTGCCAAGTGACTACTGGATGTCCAACTTCCTGTCCTGCAGAAGGCTGGTGAAACTCACCAATGCAGAGCAAGGGATGTTGCCGTGGATGACAGACAGCAAGCCTGTCACAGTGCCACAGGCGTTGAGAGATGGATGATCCCCTGCTGGGACTCAGCCATAGCACTATTTCCCCTGGTCCCTTTTGTTCTGCAAGCAGCCTGTTGTCCTGTTCCCCTTTCTCAGACATTCACTGATAGTTGCATGCTGGCTGAAGAATCCAAATATGTCTAGAAACTGTTGTGTCAGGGAATGAAGCACATTGTGCATTTGAATGACCAGAACTGTGCCTTAGCAGTTATTATATATGGCCACAATTGCTGATTTCCACTCCACTTCTGTCACTTCCACCTTCTGTGTGGACTGCCATTTTTTAATCAGGCAACTATGCTGAATGCAGACTGAGCACACAAGTTCACACAACGTCACAGAACAGCCTTACAGCAACAGAACTTTCATGAATGGTTGTAATGGCATGACTAAATGTGGGTGCTCCTGCCCTAGGCTGCTGGACCAGACCTACTTCTTGCTTATCACCTTACACTCTTTACCCTCAGCTGCTTGCTATTTTAGAAAAGATGCATAGGTCATACCTCAGAGTCAATGTAAGTTCCCTATATTCAGATGATCTCAGTTTAAATGTGTTATATTTACCATGGTTGATAGTTCTGCACACATCTAAGATAAATCCTTATGCGTATGAGGAATAACGATGAAGGCTCATATTCTCACCCCTTTCTTTTAGAAGTGAATAATTTGGTGACTCATACTGTGCAAATAGAGCACCACTATTGGATTATGAAGTGCAGTTGCTGAAAACAAGTTAATTGTATGCTGTCAGCCTCTACAGGGCTGCTAGCAGGGCTTGAGAATGAGGTGTAGTGCCTCAGGGTGGGGGTGTTTTCCTAACCTGTGTGTGTTGTACATAAAGCAACATCTGTGTATTATGGTGATGTTTTGCAATGACACATTCCAGAGGATTAAAACACACGGGCAATATTTCACAGGCTACAAAGCTGTTCTGGCATTTCTGCAGAATAAGTACATAAGAAGAGTTATCCTCTACATAGTGTGAAAAATAAACAAGGAATTGATTTGTGACTCATTGCCGTTTCTTATATTAAAATCTGCATAATTTTGGCCAGATATCTGGCATACAAAGGTACCTTAGAACCATAAATGCTTGGCTCAGCAGTTATTCTCTGCATACCTGGAGGGTGTAGGGGGGGGTTACAGGGGGTCTTTACGCAATTGTGCAGAGCTTAGGATTGTCAAGGCATTCCTGGAGATCATTTGGAAAGATTTTTATCATTTTGATCTTAGTGTTAAGTTCTGCCATTAAGCAATCAACCAGCAGAGTTATCCAAAAGTAAAACATACGAATGTAAAAACAGAAGCTGCACCTTTATAGTTACAGCTGCGCATAATGGTTCTGAGAAAGGATTGTTGCCATTCAGATCAGTATCACACAAGCTCATCTTTGAGTCATCAGGGCCTTTAACCCAACTTAAAGGAAGAACCAATGGATTTCCTCATAATTCACAAGGACCTCTTGGGATTTCAGATTTTTTTGAAGGGTGGTTGTTTACTGTAGCCAGGACTTGTGTCGTGTATGGGCTACTCTGCAGGACGGGATGATCAAATCTTCAGTTGAATGATTTCTATTATAGTGTGCTGTTGTCTCTGGCAGAAGTAAGGCTTTTGAAGGGCCCAGGACAGAAGACTGTTTGCAATGAGATTACACTGTCAGTTATCCCGCACTCTTATCACTTCTCTACTCTGACATCACGTTGTTTGTTGTACTGAACCAACACAGCTATGTCTCATTGGCTCTAATTTTGGAAGTAGTTTAATCCTTTTAAGAAATTACATCTCATGGATGGTATTTGGATGGATTTCAAGAACATCGTTAAATCAGTGTTCGCTTGTTCTCTGCAGTAAACAAGGTTAAAATATAATGGGTGAGGAATAAGAATATTGAAATGTCAGGAGAATAATGGCTATCAATATTTAGTAAAAAATATCTGCATTGTCGTCAATCTATATGCATGATATTTCTGAGAAATTTTCAACAGTAAATCTCTCCCAAAATGTGTCTTCTGTCTATGGTCAGATCTGTTGTGTTTTCCAGATATCTGTCTCTAGTGTTTGGTCAGATTCTAGGCTGCTTTCCTTGTATATTTTGAAGAACAGGGCATGGATAAGCCTGCCTACATGAACGGGGGCGACCTACTCATGCTCACGTGCAGCCAGTGTTGCTGTTCTGATCTTGACTCTTCTGTGCATTTAGCCTTCGTGTTAGGGGTGACGGGGTTCTCTGCTACCAGCTGGCTGGTGCAGTAATAATACAGAGATGTCCTTAAGTCTTTTGCTTCCAGACCCACCACAGAGAAGGAACGTGACAAAACTGAGCTAGCGAGTTAATTGCAAGGTCATAAACTTAATGAGGTTTTAAATATTGCAGCTCAAGCATAGGAGACTACAATGACCTTAAATTAAACAAGAGGGTTAAAATAAACCTCTGGGATCTATGTTTATTGCCAGGGCATGGTAATAAATATATATTTCTGTGTTTTCCTATAACATCTTTTATTCTGTATATTAAGGTGATTACTGGTAAAGCCTTATCACCGTCTGGTGAGGGTAAGTAATACACAGGAATCACTGTCCTGTTTTTGTGAAAAGCTTGCCTCTTCTTCAGCAACATACACTAATATTATACCCAACAGTTCAGGGCAAAATGTCTCAGTTATTGTCAGGAGAAAATGGAGGAATGTGGAAGAGAGCTAGAAATTAATGGACGTATCAAAGGTAAATGTCAAACATTTGCTTCAAAGCACCGCAGGAATCTTAATGACTGTTTTGCCTTTCCTTCTCACCCAAGAGTTTTTAAGGGAGAGGATAGTTTTCTGCTCACTCCATTCCCTGAACTAACAAAGCACAGACATTTGATAGTTAAATGTCACAACAGGGTAGTTTTCCTATTTGGTTAACCATAACTGTTTCAGGAACTGGCAAGAGGAGAAACTTGTTAAAAATTCCATCTGCCAGCTTTTACTGAATTCTAAGTGGAAATGGTTAAGCAAAAGGAGTATTTTTTTTTCCTTCTGTTTCTCCAGGCTTGCTTTGAGCATCCCCAGGGAGGCCAGGCTTGCAGACTGAAAAACTACTCCGAACTACTGTGTACTAAACTCAGCAGGCACAGTTTATTAACACTGACAGAGTTCCCCTCCATCTGTCATTTACTTTGGTTTGCTCCTTGGATGATTCAGGTTTGTTATCTCCATATATATTCCCTATTTTCATCCTGAAGCTTCAATAACAACGCCATCATTGCAAAAAAGATGGTATGGCTGAGATTAAAACAAGTTATATGTATCTAAGAGCATAATATAGGACTACCCTGTGCTTGTTAGGCTGTACAACAGAGATGCAAGGAAGGAATATTGTTAATTCTCAGCAGGGTAAGATCTTCATTCAGTTGATAGTTTTTTCAGTGTGAAACTCCACATGAAAAGCCAAATGTTATGTCAATAAGAACAAGGAAATATAATGGATTTTACATTAAACACATTTTAGCTGTGTAGCTGTATCATGTATCTAATGAATCTGAAATATCTGACTTTTCTTATTGTCAATAAATCGGGACTCTGTAGCTTGGTGACTCAGATTTCCTTTAGTTAGCTTTTTCTATATTACTGATTGCATTGTTTGTTTTATACAGAGCTGCATTTTGTGTTTGCCTAATAATTGATTACAATATGCCAATAATTGCTGTAATTGCTCCAAGGAAACTACAGAATTCCATTTATGAATTTCTCCAGTGAACTGCATCTCTGTTCAAATCCCAGAGATCTTACATCACACTTGCACTGCTTCAACAGGAGAAAAATGCTACTTCTTTTCCTTTGGCTAAGAGACGAATTGCCCTCTGTTTTATCCCTTGTGTAAACTCAGGCAAATGATGAAAAACTGCAGGAATTGTAGCTGTACAACACTGATCCAATTGTCTGAAGTGAACACAACTGCTAGAAGGCACGAAACTTGTGGAGTGTGCTGATTTCTTTGGCATCT